TTTAACATATGTTATTGAACGATCTGCTAATTGTAGAGTTACAGAAGTCGAGATATTTCTCCTATTACAAATCTTTTAAATATTGATAATGACATAAGGTTAATTCTTGCACCTAAATCACATAAAGCTTTCCCAAAAAAATTATCTCATATTTACATGGAATTGTGAAGCTACCAGGATCTTTAAGCTTTTCAGGAAGCTTTTTTTAAATTATATCACTGCACTCCTCACTAAGTTAACATTCTTGTTATCTTTGAACTTCTTTTTTTTGTTAAGAATATCCTTCATAAACTTCATATAGCTTGACATTTGTTCTAAGGCTTCAACAAACAAAATATTAATTGTAATCTTCTTAAAAATTTCCATAAATTTTGAAAATTGTTTATCCAACTTCTGTTGACGGGGCCACTGAGGAAATGGAGGTAATGGTTTTTCGAAGTCAATTTTAAGTGGAGAAATAGGTCTCTCTAAACCTTTCGAAGCATCCTCTTCAGGCTCTTCAACTTCTTCTCTCTCTACTTCAGTCTCTTTTTTAACTCTACCTTCCAATTCTCTTCCTTTTCTAAGTTGAACGGCTTTTACTTACTCTTATTCTGGTCTTTCAGATTTACTTCAGTATTATTAGGAAGTATTCCTTAGGATCTATTGCTTAATGAATTTTTTATTTGTCCCAATTGACTCTTAATATTTCTAATTGTAGCTCATTTATTTTGTAACTGATTTTCCATTTGTAACACCACTTCTTCTATAGATAACTTTTTCTCCTTAAATTGTGGATTACAGTTAAAACCTGGAAGATAAGTAGGTTTATAATTATTATTCCCTTGGTTGTTCCAATTTTGCAATGGGTTTACCTGGTTGTTCCCCATTGCTGATTATTACCACCCGAAGTATTATTCCAGTTAAAGTTGGGATGGTTCTTCCAACCTGGGTTAAAATAGTTTGAATATGGGTTATTCTGCATGTTATTTATGACATTCAAAGTTTCTAACGATGCTTGCGAATCTACCATTTGGCCTAATAAATTCTCTTCAGTCATTGCAATTAGTTGAGAAAAACTCATTCCAAATTGGTCTAACTTCCTTAAAATTGCAGCAACTTGATTTGCTAATTATTAGTAGTCATATCTTCAATTAAAGCATAAGCGTCATGAAATAATTTTAACGTCAATGGACCACCTCCAACGGCATCGATAATAAATCTAAGAGATCCAGGTAATTCATTGTAAAATGTTTAAATTATTAACCAATCTGGTATAGCATGGTGTGGACACTTTCTCAGTACTTCTTTAAATCGTTCTCATGCTTTAAAAATAGATTCCCCTTCAAACCGACAAAAAGATGTAATATCATTATTAAACTTCACAGCTTTTTATGGTGGAAATTATTTAGCAAGGAATTTATATGCTAAATCACTCCAAGTTCTAATAGATCCAGGTGCTAATGAATGTAACCATATATTAGCCTTATCCCTCAGTGTGAAAGGAAAAAGTCTAAGTCTTATAACATCATCTGATACACCTCGTCTAATACACCATTACACTTAAATGTAGCACACAACTCTAGAAAATTGCAAGATGTAAATTTGGATCTTCAGTTGGTGCTCCGCCAAACTGATTATTTGATATCATTTAAATAATTGCGGGTTTAAGATCAAATGAATTAGCCACTACAGTGGGTTTTTGAATACTACAATGATGTTCATCCACCATAGGGTTTACCTAATCTCTTAAAGGTCTAAACTCTTCAACATTTTGATTATTTTGGTTTGTCATTTCTCAAATTTTTTTATTTTTTTAAGGTAATTTTTAATTTTTTAATTTTTTTAATAGTTATTTCTAATTCAGAATCGTAGGGCACTAGTCATGTGGAACCTGAACTACGCATACATTACTACAAAACACATAAAATAAAAACACAAAAAAAAAACTTTATATAAAAACAATACTACAATACTCCTATAATAAATCTAAAAATTTAAATAAGACTTTATAAAAATATAAAATTTTCTTTTTAAAATTTTCTTAAAATATTTTTCAATTTTTGTTAATTCTCCCAGGGCAACAACGCCAAAAACTTGATCCCGATTCTCTTTATATATGTTAATGCGATGTATGTGATTATATTCTTAATTTCCTTAATTATAATTCTTACTTTGCAACGCGCAAAAAAATGATCCCAAGCAAAAGCTAGGTAAAATCTTGACTTTGAAGCAAATAAGAATACATTTATAATATTTAAATATGGGATAACATGCAATTATACGCATCGTTATAAAGTACTATAGGACTTTTTGATTAAGCCCCAAATATCGAACCTAGAGGGAAAATGCAATATGCAAGAAGTTCATCCACCATAGGGTTTGCCTAATCTCTTAAAAGTCTAAACTCTTCAGCATTTTGATTGTTTTGGTTTGTCATTTCTCAAAATTTTTTATTTTTTTCAGTAATTTTTAATTTTTTTTATTTTTCTAATAGTTCTTTCTAATTCAGAATCATAGGGCACTAGTACTGTGGAACCTAAACTACACATACATTACTACAAAACAAATAAAATAAAAACACACAAAAAAAAAACATTATATAAAAACAACACTACAATATTCCTATAATAAATCTAAAAATTTAAATAAGACTTTATAAAAATATAAAATTTTCTTTCTAAAAATTTCTTCAAATATTTTTCAATATTTGTTAATTCTTCCAAGGCAACGACACCAAAAACTTGATCTTGATTCTCTTTATATATGTTAATGTGATGTATGTCATTATATTCTTAATTTCTTTAATTATAATTCTTACTTTGCAACAGCGCCAAAAAATGATCCCAAGCAAAAGCTAGGAAAAATTTTGACTTTGAAGAAAATAAGAATACATTTATAATATTTAAATATGGGATACTATACAAGTATACACATCGTTATGAAGTAATATAGGACTTTTTGATTAAGCCCCAAATATCAAACCCATAGGGAAAATGCAATATGCAACTTTACAAAATAGGAGAAATTAGATAACAAAATTTTACTTCGCAAAATATTCTTACTTAACCCTATATGCTATATAGGAATGAAAGTTTGATTCTTTTTGTAATTTTTGATAATTGAAAATAAAGTAAACAACTAACCAATTTAACTAGATATTTGTAAGATGAAGACAATATAAATAATATATATTTTTCCTTATCATGAATCAGTAACAAGTATAGGAATTATGTTGTGGAAGTATTTTAATTATGTTGTGCCAAATAAAAGCAATAATATTCCTTACCTTTTTTACTAGAGATGCTTAGAGATGCTATAAAGAATATTGGCTAATATATAGTTTGAATAGTCTTGAAAATGTGTTTGGTAAGGAAGATACTAGCTCTCACTCTAGACTTCCCTCTTCTCCCTCCCTCCACCTGAGGGTTAACATCTCCTATCAAAACCTAAAATTATAAACCAAATTGGGGGCTTTAGCCTGTCACTCTAAAGTCCTCTAATTCTATACCCTTCAAAGTTTGTTTCCCTATTTATTTGCACTCAACCCACATGAACTAAATTCTCATTCAAGAAATCAAATGTGATTCTTACCATTTATTGACTGAGATAATACCATCTCGGATCTTACATATTCTCACAATAGGTATTAACACCTTAATTAGCAAAATCAAGAAGAAAATGCAGTACAAGGTTTAAAATCGTCATAACTTTTTCCAACATTAAAGACTAATACTTCACATAACTTCCATACAATACTTAATCACTTATCATTTCAAGGAAAAATATAAAGAAAACTACTCAGAATTTATGGAGAAAACACACTTGAGTTTGAAAATAGAAATCATGCACACAAACAAGAAGTCTAAATTAAAACCAAATGTAGTCACAAAGATTAAAACTTATTTTAAATCCTCTCCACCAAAGTCTTGAAGTTCCTTTGAATCTCTTCCTTCACTAACAATACAAAATATAACTCAAAATTAAAATAAAAGTGTCGGCGATGGCGGCGGCGTATGTGGTGGTTGGCACTCGATTGGTCTGGTTGGATTGATGGGTTGATTGATGGATTGATGGATTGATTCTATGGATGATCCACGTCTTCTTTTATAATTTTTCAAATGGTGTTTTGGTTTCTCTTTAAAATATTTCTTCATTCAATGAATCTTATAGAAGTTGCCTCATTTCAAAAGCCAATTGAATGAATTTTTGTGTCCATTAACTATTTCCCACGTTTTCACCAAGGGCTGCTTTAAACACCTCTTCAAAAATTCATCTAAATTTAATGAATCATCAAGTAATTACTAATAACTACTTCTGGCACTTAAGCGCTATGTACCTAGTGCTTAGGCGTGGCTCTCTCTATTTAACTGGCGCGCAAGCCGCCCACCCTGGGCCAAACCTAGGCGCTTAGGCGATTGAGTTCATTTTTGCACCTTCTTCATTTTTGCTCCAAATTTCATCCTTTTTCACTCCTTTTACCATTTTTCATTCTTTTGATTGTACCTAAAAGAAAAATAAACAAATATCTTTTATTAAAGTACAACATCTAAAAAATATGTATAAAAATGTGTACCTAAAGATTATATATTTTAGGTGTATCATACACGACAAAACAAAGGTATGATTGATTTTCATTACTCTAGCCCGAGCGATGAAACAATTTTCTTGCCACTCAACAGAGTCATGTAAAAATAATTAAGTTGAATACAAGGCGCTCATAACTGGCTTGGAACTAACAATTTTAATGGAAACTAAGGACATCGACATTCATGGGGATTCTCATCTCATCATTAACTAGGTTGCTGGAAAGTATAAAACCCTAAATCCAAGTCTCAAGTAGTACTTTCACTGCACTATAAAGCTGTTAGAACAAATCCCAAATGTATGTTTTTTTAAATTTTAAGCCAAGAGAACTCATTAGAAGATGCTTTAGAAAAGCTCACGAAGGAGTTTGCCTACCTGGAAGAGGACCACATTCAAATTTCAGTAAAGGGTGGTAAGTCCTCTCTCAAATAGACATGGACAGACTTCACAAAATCGGTGCTGATGTGACAGTGAAAGCTGATGAGAAAGAAGAAAAGAGGATTGGAGACAACCATTCATTAAATATTTGCAAACTCAAGGATTACCAGAAGACAGTTCTACTACAAACTAAAGTAAGCAGTGAGCATTGTCCTATGCTCTACTGAAAAACATCCTTTACTGCAAGTCTTTTGACCAAATCCCACTACGGTGTCTAAGAAAATTTGAAGCTCAAGATGTAATCAAGCAGTCCACTCAGGCCTCTATGGTGCACACAAGTCAAGGCCTAAAATATTCTTGAAAACTTTTCAAACTTTCAAAAGGCAGTGATCGTTCTACAAAATTTTGAGATTAATTTGACTATTAATTTAATTTAAGTTAAATTATTTTATTTCCAATATATTTAAATAAAATTCAAATTAATGTTTAGAAGTTAAGGCTTTTATTTTTCCCATATTCGTCTCTATTTTGTTGATCATTTTGCATATTATTTGGATTTCTTTATTTTAATATTTTTTAATGATTTTGTGTTTTATTTAATATTTTTCTAACATCATATTAATTTAGCTAGTTTGAACTAACATGAAGCATAACTTATTGATAGTACACTCTGCTTAGTTAGGTGTATTTACGATGAGCTCTGACACCAGCTAGAAATAACCCAAGTTGTTTGAACAAAGATTTAACATTGGAGATTATTCCATCAGTTTTCTTATGAGTTTTACAATGTTCTATATGACTTATTCAGGTTCATATAATCTGAAAAATTGGAATGGATGGCTATGATTTCTTCCCTAAACATTAACTAGAGAATGAGATCCATTTGTGATTTTCTTTGTGATATGCATGATCCAGTATATGATTTCCAAAACTCCTTCACCCAAAGAGATTAGAAGGCCCTAGAGATTCTATCCTAAAGTGGTTTTGCCCTTAGGGCTACGTTTTTTCTATAATTTACAAAGTAAGATGAAATTAGGTATGGGATTAGGTTTAATTACCTTGTGTGTTTCTAGTTTTCTTTAAAATGGCTATCTATAATTTTTTTATTAACCTAGTAAATACTTCTCCCTTGCTTTGTAATAGTTCATAAAGCATGGTTTGTTAGCTTTATTAAGATCGGGCAAGTTTCATATGAGAAGATTTTGAGGCACTTAGAGGAGAAACTAACTGAGGGGCCTTACTAAGGTGTTGGGGAATTAATTGAATGCCTAATATGCCCTGTTTAGCTTTGAGAAAAAAACTAACTATTTTGGCTTAAGTTAGCTCAAGCAGGATCTCTAACGATAATCCTACTCTCTAATGAGCTCAAACAAAGGGCTAAGAATGATTCTACAAGACTTCAGTCTCATACAATGGTTAGAAGCAACATAATGTGCAGTGAAGTTGAACTAAAGTGGATCGAATCATAGTCTAGTATTGGCTAAGTTAGGGGAGTCATGGTAGCTTAGAGTCAAAATTAGCCCCCTCTAAGTAGGACCTCATAACTTAAAGAAGGATGTAGAATAGTCACTTTAGGCATAAGTTGAATGGCTTGGTCAAATGTGATATTAGATATCTAATTTGGACAATTGCATACCCTTGGGCGCACTTGACTTGGACCGATGGGCTCAGTAGGTTCAAGTAGATTCGTTTGGTGGCAATTTTTTGAGTTTGGTTGAGTTTGATTAGGATTACACCTCGATTTAGCCAAAAAGTTTCTTAGAAATCATTTGGTCAAATATGGGCCAAAGTTTAATTTGGCTCCATTTCCCAAGGGCTTAGTTTAAGATGATTTGAAAAGGTTTTAAGTAGCTTTGAATTTGACTTGATGAGTTTGGACATAAATTGAGGTAAAAATGACTCATTGGCTTCACTCAAGCCTATCATGGCTCAATTCTTATGAATTTGGATTCACTTAAGAGATCGAACCAGGAGTTGTTTAAAGATTTTTAATATAATTTCAATAAGATTAATTTTAATTTGGCTCCCATTTTGGCGCAATAGGGTTCAATAATGACTATTTGGGTTGGGGCAGCTATAATTACATCTCAAGAGGCAACTAAGAAAGATGACCAAATTTAATTGTAGTGACTTCTAGAATACATAAATTTTAATGCAAATATCTTCTATATATAACTTGTTTGATCATCAAATATATTACATTCATTTTAAGATAAATCTAAAAAAATAAAAAAACCCAGCTTTCTTTGTTTCTTCCTATCTGTAGAAACCGCACGATCAAGAAGACCTAGTCATTACCACGGACTTTCAATTGACTCCATGACATTTTAATAAATAATATTAGTTATGTCATTAAACTGTGAAATGGGACTAGTCTCTACAAGTCTTCCACGTCTCACACCAGTCTCCAAGAAAGCGCGGAATCCTCATTCAAAATTATGTTTATTTATACCCCTCTTATTTTCAGCTCTGCTTCAGCCCTCCTCCAATGGCTTCCAACTCTTCTGTCTTATCCTCAAACTTTTCACCGACTGAAGTTTTTGATGACATATATTTTGAGTTTGATGACTCTTTTGTCTCTGAGGAAACATTCAGTGAAAATCAGCAGCTGGTTTCTCAGTATCAGCGAGGTACCATCTTGCATCATGTAAATGATTGTGGAAGCAGGTATGTGAATCCTAGCTCTAATTATTAGCTAATCTGTTGGGGAGCTTTGTGCTGATGGTGCTCTTTGTGGATGTGCAGAAATACTAACATGCAGCAGAGTAATCAGAGGCTCAAAAAAACTAAAGTTTCGTTTAAAACAAAATCGGACCGTGATGTTCTGGATGATGGCTATAAGTGGAGGAAATATGGAAAGAAAATGGTTAAAAGCAGCTCAAATCCAAGGTGAACATACATCAACATAAAAATATTACTTTTCAGTTTCCTCATACATGTATTAATAAAATAGGACAATATAAACTAAGCAAAGTTAATTGTATGTACATTTTCAAAAATGTGTTTGTAGGACGGGAATTGAATTCCGAGAAAATAAAAATATTAAAAGGTTAAATAAATGGCAAACACTTCTTTATTAATTAAATCTTCTATATTTCTTTTTGTTTTCCCTTACTTCCCTTCAATGAAAATAAATCCTAGACATCCCAAAATTGAGAAAATATTATGTCTGTTTGTAACGGATCTTTTAGAGCGTGATGCGATTCACGCTATCAAACACACATCTGATTTACCGAAAGTAATATTTTCTTCTCAGACGAATATATGCATTTTTGCGAGTGGGATGTTCTAGATTATTTCAGTTACTTGTTATAAGAAAATTGATGTTGATTGAAAATATGTTTGATGGCCTCTTTAAGATTGAGACACTGATATATTTATGATTTCGATCTACTTACATCATGACACTTCCATTTTTTTTCTTAAATATAAACAGATTCTAAGCAACTAAATTAATAGTAAGAGAAATACTGTGAGAAATAGATAGATGTTCACATTCATTTTGCATGATCCAACAAAATGTTCCTAATGCATAAAATAGTTTTCATAAGCAAATAAAAATGCTCAGTGATTCACAAGTCAATATAGCCATATTTGATTTATTTTTTTTGTCAGGCTAAACGAATGATTGAAGTAATGAAATTTATGGACAGGAATTACTATCGGTGCTCGATGGAAGGCTGCAATGTAAAGAAGAGGATAGAAAGAATGGAGGAAGATTCCGGCTACGTCATTACAAGCTATGAAGGCATCCATAATCACTATGCTCTCAATCAGCACGACTACAGTGGGACGTAGAACAAATATTATTATTATGATATAGTGTGTAAATGTTAGAATTTATATGTTACTTTAAGTAATCTCAATGTAAAATTAAGAATTTGATTGAGTAAGGTATTGAATTGTAAAAAAGAAAAAAAGAAATGAGATTGAAAGTGTGGTTGATAATTGCATTTGCTTGAATCATTAATATGTTGATGTTAGTCTGAATTTGGTTTGACCGAATAAAATATTTATTTTTGAAGCTTTTCTTTTTAAATAGGAAGCACCAAACCCAACAAGCTCGTAGCTCGCACACCAGAAACTTTGTAATTCCTTAAACAATGTTTATAATCTGCATATGTCATGTAAAAAGTATTAAAAGAATATTTAGCTTGAATCTTAATGGAGTAAATATGTTCTGATGCCACTATAGTTTGTGCTCTCCACAATGTTTCATGATCTTGATCATTGAATGTAAGAAAATGCTTCGGAGTAATTTAGAAATGTTTAATTTATTAATAATCTTTATCAGTAATGGATACATTAATGTTTATTAATGTACAAATGCTTTTCTCTGTAAAACACCTTGAAAGGTTGAGAAGGCCATTATGAATATATTAGAATCCGTGACAGGTAAATATATTAGAATCCAGAACAAGAATAATCACATCTTATGTTGGATCTAAGTTTGGCACCGTCTGAGGGAAAAAATGCCCCATTAGCAGAAATCTACACTTCTTCAATTGATAACCAACGCAATACACAAACTTCTTGCTATAAAATTCATCATTCTAGGGTGCGGTTTCGAAGTTCAGGATACCAAGCCTCAGCATCATTTTTCAATGAAATAAATGAATGATGAATGGAAGTCTCAAAATGAGATTTTTCAATTTTTATGTAAGGCTCAATAACCCAAGGTTGTAAATATTGAAGGGGAGCAGGTATCGCTAAATGCACTGATTAGATTTACAAAGACATGCTGAAGTTTCTCTTCAAGAAGCTAACCGATAAGGCAATGCTAGCTCCACACATCCATCACGTGTAATCAGACTTTGTAATAAACCTCCAACATTTGTGGAGAAATTAACTCGGCATCACATAATCTGTGATGAGTTACAGTGTCAAGTAGAAGAAGAGTTTCCTTTAAGGGATAGAGGTCATTTCTTTGCTCGATATAGTAGTCAAGAGTCATCTCATTCGATTGAGATCATCCCTCAACACCCTGTTCCAGGAGAATTCATGCTTCCACACATTAATTCTTATGATGGGATATGAACACATTGATTATTATAGAATCATCATGCACATACAACTAGCTTCTCACATTCTTTTTTTATCAATTTTTTCCTACTATTCTTAAGGACTAAACATGTACTTAATATTATTAACTCCAGAAGAAAATTGTTCAAACTTTGATGAGCTTGCCAAATTTTTTTGTGGAGCGATTCAACACAAATAGAAAGATCGTCAAAGACTTATCTCACCTCTTTAGGATTCATTAAAGTGAATGAAAATCTCTAAGAAAAATTAATTCTAGAGATTTTTGGTCGAAGCTCATTAAATTCAAAGATTAGATCCAGAATTACTAAATAGCTTCTTCATAAGGAGGATTATGTCCTAGTCCTTTCTACTCATCCTTGAGGTGAGAATCCGTTTTTTTCATATATTGACCTAATCCATAATGTTGAAGCATAAATTATAGCTGATGAAGATTTTAATGCACATAGAAACTAATTTGAAAAGATCATAATAAAGCATAAAAAAAATCTCTAAACCTCATGTTTTAATGCACATCACATCAAGGGACAACCTTAAATCTTGGGATATCAAGCCTCGATTATTTCCTACTCAATAGGCACTATTTTGCTCTTGACGATGCATTAATTTTGTCTTTGAAAGATTTGATGCACATAATGGAAGAGTTTATGAATAAGATTCTTTAGTTCATATGGTGGGTTTATAGTCGATACTGACACAATCAGATTATGTTTACATGCCCAAGATCAACCATCACTGAAGATTTCCTCACTCGAGAATTCACATATGGAGGCCCCCTCCTCAAACTAAAATTTCTCCTCAACCTAGCTTGTTAAGAAGCAGACCTCTTAGGTATTACCTGTTCCATACACCTCTCGCTAATCGACCTCCAAATCAGCTTGCACTATCATTTCTATTAAATTCATTATCATACCAAAAATCATGTCATCAAATTAAGAGAAAAATAAGAATACCAATTTGATAAGATAATTGGGCTGCTTTACAGGATTATGTGGATAACACCATCACTTGAGGAAAATAATTTCAAAAGAAACAACAAGAAGGTTGACAATTATTTTTCTTGAGTATGGACAAACATATTCTTAAGAAAAACAATAGTCCATCTTGGCCTTCAACCTAGACTCTAGAAATAAAGTTATTTATACCACCTTATTATGGGCTTAATTTATCCCAAGGAAACACAATTTAACTTTTTCCATAACAGGTTAACACCGTTAAGTTTTTTTCGACGAAGTAACATATGACGGGTCTAATATCTTTGGAAAATTTTATTTGACTTTGTTCATAACATGTTAACATAGTTGAGCATCTCTGACAAAATAACTTAGAAAGGGTTTCAACTTTGTAAATAATAGGTTAATGTTGAACAAAATAACCTAGGATATGTCTAACATTCGTTTTGAATTTCATTTGACACTATCAATGATAGTTTAATAGCATCGAGCTTCTGCAACATGACAACTTAGGATGGGTGTAACATTCTTGGTGAATTTCACTTTATTTTACCTATAACAGATTAATGTCATCAAGCATGTTTCAAAAGATAACCTAAGATGAGACTAACATTCTTGTTGAATTTTATTTGACTTTATCCATAATAGGTTAACACTATCAAACATCTCTAACAAAACAACCTAGTATGAGTCTAACATCAATGTTAAATTTTGTTCAACTTTATCCATAATAGATTAGCATCTTCAAACATCTCAGGCAAGACAACTTAGAATGGGTATAACATCCTTAATAAATTCCATTCGACTTTTTCATCGCAAGCTAACATTATTGAATATCTCAGGTAAAATAACCTAGAATAGGCTAACATCACTTGGGAAACTATAATATTTTTTTGGTAATACTTGTTAAGTAACATTTCACCCTGATATTATACTACAAAATGAGTGGAGAAATCTATTATGGAAAAAATATAGCAAATTCCAAACCCGTGAAGATAAACACACTATCAAGAAGTATGAAAATTACATTAAGCAGACAAAAAATATTACAGAAAAACACACTTTTCAAAAGTATAAAGGCTATATCAAGCAGGAAAGACCTATATGGACAAACACACTATGATAAATTACAAAATCTAAATTAAATAAATAAAAATCTCTACAAAATATATAATTTTAAAAATACAAAAACTATAATAAACCAGTAAAAATAAACGCTAATCAACTTTAGTGGCATATTTCCCCGTTGTTAGTGGTGTGCTCTTGCAAATCACTCTTAGCTATTTCACCTTCAAGATAAGAAGAGGGGTCTTCAGATTCCTGGTTGAGAAGGTAAACCCTCGATGTCAACCCCAATCCTATAGTACATTAAAAGAAACCCTTTCTAAAATCGTTCGGTGAATCCTTCTTCTTTAGATTGGTTTTGCAACTTCTTGTTCTCCACTTTAAGAACCAACAACTTTTCCCAAAAAACCTTCAAGCTTTTGGTACTTTGACTAAGATCAGCTCATTTCTCCACTAACTCTTCTTGAGACTTCTTCAGCTCCTGACTTTGTAGAAAAAAAAAAAACATACTGATGGTCAATTCTTTTTTGCTCTCTATTAGCTATTCTTTCAAGGCTAATATCTATTTTGCATTGACATTATACATTTTTTTAAACTCGCCTTGAAGATATTTATCTTCACACACTCTATGTTCAACATTCTTACAGAAAGCTTTAGCAAAAAAATTATATCTTCTTCCTTATCTAAAGAAGATAAATATATGTCAAACATGAAAAAAAAAGTAATAACATAGGATTAAAGATGACTACACATTCTTCAACTCATGAAAATTTAATGCATGTGTAATTCAAAGGATCCATAAAGAAAAAATCTATATGACCTCTATCAGTTTTTTTGTTTTATAATAAGAAAAAAAACTATCATCATGTAAAGGACGCTTGGAGGATATTTCTGGCACTTGCTAAGGCTTCTATGACCCATTCAACATTACAAAATAAGATTTTCTTGTATGAATGCAGAGACCAATTTTGAACAAATATTCTAACGTTGCAGATTTATTGGGGTAAAAGACATCACATAAATAATCTAAAAATTAAGAATCTTCAATACATCCCTTTCCACAACATGAAGATCAAAGGATGGCTTCTTCAGTTTTTTATTTTTCTCATGAAGACCTCAATCATTGTTCATAAATAATAATTGAATGGGCCAATTTTTTAGAGCAACTCATGTTTGAAAGCCTAACAATTCACACTTTTAAGTGATATTATCTCAAACATAAAAAATGAACTTACTTGTCTTTGTCACTATCACCAATGACAATGTCGCATCATGGTCCCTAAAGAGAATAATCATCCCATTATGATTGCCATAGTTTAATAAGAAAACTTAGATAGACATAGTCACTAGCTCAGGAGCTGGTGGAAATTGAAACCTTGCATGTAAGCTGGTCTCATAAATTGTGATGAATTCATGAGGAGACAAAGAAGCTTGATCAGAAAGACCGGGTAACTTAACCACCATTTAATTTAGAAATTTGAACTTCTTTCAAAAAATTATCAAGCAAGCTCAGTAATTGTCTACATCGTCTCATTGGGATTTGGATACTTTTTATGGCCTTTGAGAGGGGTTAGACTATCTAGAAATTGGAATCTTCAATGGAAATCAATAAAGAAAACCCTTCTCTTGAAATTAACAATAGCCTAAGAAAGATGACAACAACAACCTAGAAAAGAAGGCAACAACAACCTGAGGAGGAAGATAACAATAGCATTAGAGGACAACAATAGGCAACAAAGAAGGCACCAACAACCTAAGGAAGAAAAAAACAATAGCTTGAGGAAGGTGGAAACACAGACTTAGAAAGTGGAAACAACAACCTGGGAGAGAAGGCAACAAAAACCTGGAAATGATTTTAATATGTGGAGAGATGA